AATTATTGATTGATGTTAATCTTTTATATTTTCTTTGCAAATATTTGGACTAGAGATGTGTGAGATCAAATATTTTTGCTTCCGGTAAATCGGTTGTAGTCCTGATCGCAGTTTTGATGTTCAGATTTATAAGATGATTTGCTTAAATCTATTTTACTATAAAATTGAGTTGCGGTCCTGCATATCTCTAACTCTAATATATTATCTTCCTTTTAATGTAATTTCATCACAGTTAGTTCTAATCAAAAGCTCTGGTAGCATTACTGGCAATTTTATAAACCAGTGAACATTTAAAATTTTTTTGCATGAAATAAATAGTAGAATATCTTTTCCATGATAATATACTATTTGGGATTTAGTTATAATATCCTTTCAGATAAAATTCAAGTCCAGCCAATGTTTAATACTATACTAAAATTCAGACTATTTTGGAAATAGATGTAAAGTTACAATAGCATGGCGATCTAACGTTCCATTGTATCCAAAAATTATAAGATGAGGCAAAGTGTTTTCGTAAAAGAAGAGAAAGCATGAATGATGGATATTGATATAGTTGTTCAGTTTCCGAGTTTACAGTTGTAAATATTGAACCCATAATGGCATTTTAGTTAAGATTTCTCTCTCCTATAATACAATAGAATGAATTATTCACGATTGTCTAAGCATGAAACAACTCACAGTATGTTGGGTCGATCATCAATTCACTAATGAATACAAATAGGAATGGGTTAGAATTTCAGCATTACATGACCAATCATTGTTGTTATACAATGTTATTACAGAGCACCAGACATGAATTTTATATCGACATATTGACGGCAAGTCAATTAATGCTAACTGAATTAATGAAGATGATTGACTAACGATTATTGTCTATCAAGAAAGTTTTTAACCGAAAATTTCATTTCGTATAAAATTTAAATCAAATGATTGAGTTCTGACATAAAATGTAGATAATGACAAGATAGTATACCATATTTTCTAGACCTAATACTGTGAAATCTTTGATTAAATAAATGAAGTATAATATACTTATGTACTTTCCAAGATAAAACAACAACTTTTAATCGATTGTCAGAAAGCAGAAATGAAGTTTATATAAGTAATCATGACAACTCTTTTCAAACTTTTAATAAAATAAAATAAAAATATTTTCTTGTTTTTGTATAAATTTATTTAATGTATAAATATTAATCGTTTTAGATTTATTTAAGTCTTATGAAAATTGTATTCATATTGGAAATTTGACTTGTCAATGTACGACATCTTTTGATCCATATCATTTATTGGTGAAATCTAAAGCAAGAGAAGAATAGTCAACATAGTGATGATGATGATGATCACAATACAGTTTTCAAAATAAGGAATGATGACATAATTTTATAAAATCTCAACATTTCTTTCCAGTCTTTAGTGTTACTTTTATCACAAAGAAAAAAAAATGATTAATTGATTTGTTACATTTGCAATTGTTTTAAAACATAACATGTGATTGACAAAGCATGGGATTTTAACCTTTAGAATTCAAATAAAATCACCTGATTTACTATATATTATTTTTCATAATGAATTATTCAAACATCATAAGAATGAAAAATATGTTAAACAAATATTAAATAATACTATAACAATAATAGTTTATTAATAAATTTCGTCTTATATAAAACAAATAAACATCTTTTCTTAAGATCATTTGCAATTAGCTAAAAAAAAAATTTTTTTTTTCTATACCAAAATAATATTTGTTTCATTTAACATCGATTAATTTATCAATCGGTTGATATATTTAAGAATACTTGTTGTTTTTTGTCTTATTTTCAGATGGCAAATAGTGCAAAAGAAAATTTAACTCAATTTGAAAAAGCAAATAATATTCAAGAAATAACAGCAGCTGATGAAATCTATGCATATGATGCTAGTTTTCAACAATCGATTTTACAAACTCGACCATGGTTACAAAAGTAAGATTGAATTTATGTTTCTCTTTATTACAACAGAAAAAAAAATATTATTTTTATAATTTTAAGTCCGAATTATTTTAAACGATGTAAAATCTCTGCTTTGGCTTTATTAAAATTAGTTATGCATGCACGATCAGGTGGTACACTTGAAGTTATGGGCATGTTATTAGGAAAAATTGATGGTGAAAATATGATTGTTATGGATTCGTTTGCTTTACCAGTAGAAGGAACAGGTAACATTTTTTTTTATAGTAAAGTTTATTTCAAGATAAAAATCTGTTGATGACTATGAAGTATTGTTTACTGATTAAATATGCAACTAAGATTATCAAGTTGTATTTCTCAAAAAAAGTTCGAGTGTCCTTTGGTATCATGTTCAAGTTGACATATCACAGACTGTGATAGATAGATATTTATCGCGAGTGAAAAATCTGCTGTGATGGTTTTCAAGAAAATCTCGTCCGACACTGTGTTAAATTACTACAGTTAAATTGAATCCATCGGATTCCCCATGATGCTGGCTGTTAGACTTGAAAACGCTCAGGTCGAGTACGAATTCATGGAATTTTTCAATGTCTCTAAAACAGAAGATATTGCCACGAACATAGATTATATATCAATAATGTCTTGTTATAATTTCTTATTGAATACCTAAAGAAGTGTGGCCCGTAATAGATAGAATAAAACAACCACTCTCTGATTAAAACACGACACCTATTAATAAAAAGAAATGTTGACTCATTGTATGCACCCGTGGTACCTGTTTTATCTTGATTTTTCTAAATATCATTGTGGCGTATTTCTTATTTGAGTATCTACTGGTGCTTAGTAGTGATAAATCTTTGATTGATGTATTTAATTCTCTACGAGATAATTACTATGTTTTATGTTAGTCAGATGAGTTCACTAACTTCATCATTGTGTATATTTAGTGAATATCAGTTTATTATCGGGATTGAGTTTAGTTCGGATTCATTTTTAACTAAGATTTTCTTTTTTGATAAAATGTAAAACTTTTAATTTGTTTTTTTTTCAACGTTCTAGAAACTCGTGTAAATGCTCAACAAGAAGCATATGAATATATGAGTTCATATACATTATGGTCTAAAGAAGTAAATCGTCCTGAAAATGTTATTGGATGGTATCATTCACATCCCGGTTATGGTTGTTGGTTATCAGGTATTGATGTTGATACACAAATGCAAAATCAACAATATCAAGATCCATTTGTTGCTATTGTGGTAAGAATAATTCATTTTAATAATTGTTTCTTTGTTGTCGTTCAATAAAAAAAAAAATATTTAGGTTGATCCAACACGAACAATATCTGCTGGTAAAGTTAATATTGGTGCATTTCGTACATATCCAAAAGGACATAAAGCTGAAAGTGAAGCTATTGAATATCAACCAATACCATTAAATAAAATTGAAGATTTCGGTGTTCATTGTAAACAATATTATCCACTTGAAGTATCATTTTTTAAATCATCACTTGATAAACGTCTTCTTGAACATTTATGGAATCGTTATTGGGTTAGCACATTAAGGTTTGTTTATGATGAGTTTTTTTTTTGTTTAAGAAATATTTTTTTTTGTATTTTAGTACATCAACATTGTTAACTAATGCTGATTATATAACGGGTCAAATAAATGATGTAGCTGATAAACTTGAACAAGCGGAAAGTCATTTAGGACGAACAAGTTTTTTACCATTACCTGAACAAGATCGAAAACAAGATGATAAATTAGCAAAAGCAGCAAAGGATTGGTAAATCACAAAAAAAAAAAACTTTTTTTTTCAAAATAAATTTTTCTTATTTAGTACAAAAACAGCTGTAGAAGCTGTCAATTCATTAATGTCACAATTGATCAAAGAACGTTTATTCAATCAAGTGACTTTTCATTGATGAACATTTATCAACTGTCTTCTTTTTCTATTTAAAAAAAAAACAAACAAATATATTATTAACTCTATTCTAGAATGATATGAATTATTTTTCTTTGATTTTAGTTTTCAGATTTTTATCTTTGATCATGAAGATAGATTACATAGTATTCTAATAAAAATTCTAAAAGGTATTTAGATTTGACTAAATTTTCATGAATATTCATTATTTCAAAGTTTTATATAGTGAAGAGATTTTGTTCAAAATTTTTACTGAAGCTATTCAAGTCGACTTCTCGATATATACTAAGTTTTAGATCAAAATTCAAATTTACGATTTTTCCGAAAAACTATAGCTTTTATAGAACGAAAAAATCGATAGCTTAGTCAAATCTAAATACCTTTTAGGAAATTTTTTTGAGAGAATATTATGTAGTATCTATAGAAAAAAATACCATTGAAATCGGAAGGGGGCAGATTACCTCGTTACTAGATAACTGTGAAAACTGCAAACACAGTCAAAACTACAAAAAAGGATAGAGTTCGAAATGAATACCATACGGACGAATTCGCGATTAACAATCATTAGTGACTTGTCCGCGATAATTTCATAACAAGTGGTAGCTTGCGGATATGTGTCAAATAGCGTAGCTACTCAGCCATAACGACTCGTCATACGGATACCCATGATTACTTTGGATTTTTATTATACAAGATTTTTTAGAAATATCATGATTGCCATGGGTGTTCATTTCACATTCTGTTCTTTTTTTAAAAAGCTTTAGCGGTGTCTGTGATTTTTACAAGTACCATATTTAAATTCACATTGATCACAGATCGTAATGAATTCTTCTGTTTTTTTTTCTCTTTTCCTGCGTTGTGTAAAGATGCCCGTAGTAAACAATGGATTTTTATAATACTCTGAAAAAGGAAGAAAGAAATGTAAAAATTTAAATAAGATTTATTACGCATGTAAGTGAGTGTCATGTACAAAACAGAATTTGTCTTTCTCTAATATCGAATATGGATTATAAATGATAAAAAGTTGAGAAATTCATTTTGTTAATGAAAACTATTGTTTTTCACAATTTGAAATTCTTTGTGCTTAACTAATTTCATACCTTTTTTATTTTCTAGATTTTCGTATAAATACGATGAGCAGTAGCTCTTATAGATTATTGAATAATTCAACAGATCAACTTAACACAGATCCATCGGTTAACGAACCTGTTTCATCTGTTACAATGAATAATTCGAATAATACATTGAGAAAAAGATATATGCAAATAACATTTGCTGTTACACTTTATTGGTATTAACAAAAAAAAAAAAATTTTTTATTTATTTTGTCTATATTAATTTTCTTTTTCTTATATTTAGGTTTGTTTCAATAACGATGGTCTTTTTAAATAAATATCTGCTTAGTTCAGATAATGTGAAAGTAACATTAGTTTTCATTTGAGCTTTTTTAGTTTTAAAAATAATATCATTATAGCTTGATGCACCGCTTTTTATAACATGGTATCAATGTGTAGTAACAGTAGGAATTTGTGCTTTATTAGGAAATTTAAATAAACGTATAACATTTCTTTCAAAATTTCCAACATTTAAAATTGATCTTAAAATTGCACGTGATGTAAGTTGAAAAAGATGAAATTATTTATTTTTATTTAAAACAAAACAAAAAAAAAAAAAACTTTTGATAATAGGTTCTTCCATTATCAGTTATGTTTGTTGCTATGATTATATTTAATAATTTAACTCTTAAATATTTAACTGTATCATTCTATATGGTTGGTCGATCATTAACTACTATTGCTAATGTGGTATGTTATCATTGAAAAAAAAGAAAACGAATTTAAATTTCGTTATGATTTCTTAGGTTTTTACATATGTCATGCTTGGACAAAAAACATCGTATAAAGCTTTAGTATGTTGTGGACTTATTATTTCAGGATTTTTTCTTGGTATTGATCAAGAAAATGCACTCGGTAAGAAATTATTTATAATCATAAATTATGAAGATAAGATTTAATATTTTCGAAACTTAAAATCGAGCATATAGGTAATTTGCCTAGGATAGAATAGTACGATAAGTCGTCAGTACAGTATCGGTATAGATTTCATATCTAGATGGAAGTATCAATGATAGGATATCTTCTTTCAATCATATTCATTTCTCGTTAAACAAAAAGTCTGGAACTTCAATTTCTTAGTTGTTTGTTATATTTAGTAATGCTTCGATGTTAAATTTGTGTTCGATGATTTCGTACATACGAATGTAGATGTTATTGTTTCTCCTTCTTTATTATATATTGAGATGATCGTGAGGTATCAATGTACGTGTACGTAAAATTATCTAAGACTAATGAGCATTATATCGTTGTGTAAAAAGAAAACAACAAGAAGAATTTTCATTAGAATACAATAAAAATTTCTTTTAAAAACCGAAATAAAAATGTCTCATTAAAAAAAACAAATTGTTGACGAAATCCCTGTACGATTAAAAAGTGAAACACAATGTAACTACTGTTGCTGGTCGCGAGATGTATTGTTTTACCTTGATCCTGAAGAGCAACCAAAATGAAACCAATGTTGGTAAATAATTACTTGTAAGAATACATGTCTGTATAACATTAAGAATACTTTTCTCTAATGCAAAATGCTCATGTTAATTTCAGCCTTATTCATATATATGTGAACGCTTAAATTATTTCTTATTCGTAATAAATGCAAAGGAAAAACTTTTTATAATGACAAAATTTTTAGCGCAGAAAAATAAAATTCATAACCCTAATGCCCTCTTGATGTTAACTCTCGGTTGAATGCATGTATATATAATGTGGAATAACTTCATAATAGCATTTACATCTTTTCATGTCTCTTCAAATAGACAAGAAAAGTATTACTTAATATAAAAATGCGAAAACATCGGATTTAAATCCGAGTGTTATGTGTACTTCAAAAAGTGAACAGGTATATTCACTTTGTTTTTTATCATCTGAGACAATATCTACCCTATTTGCTTTCTCAACTGTAGTTTTTATGCATTTTGAGCCTTTTTCGGGGGATTTTTTGTTAGAAAGCTACAATTTGATTCAAAACTAATATCAGATTCGGAATCAGCGTTAAAAACTGAGTCGATAGATATATGTTGTGAATAATTCGGAGAAAAAAATTTTTTTTTGAAAAAATCCCTGTACCCCTCCTCAGGGATGGTCTTCTCAACAATGACAATTTTTTCTATAACTCAGCCATTTCTTGACGGATCCTGCTCATCTTCGAACTCGACCGAGACATTGTTAAGACTGAACTGTGTAGAAAATTTCATCGTGATCGGACTCTCCTTTCGAAAGTTATCGTGTAAACGGCCGGCCGGCCGGACATACTGACCGATTCTAGAGTGTACTCACTTTTTGAGTACACAAAAATCAATTTGTGAAAGGTGACTATAAGCTTTTCAATGACTTTTGACTAGAAAAAAGGAATATACTCAGACTTATAGAGAAAGACTCCATCTATATAATAACATTTGTATTATCAAGTTTCTACTATAGAATACCATTGCAATGTCGATAGGTGTCGCCACCTAATCAGCTTGTCAAAAATTCTCAGTCAAACCCGATGATGCATACACCTTTAGATAGAGAATGTCTTTCTCTACAAGTCTACATATAATCTCGTTCTGTAGTAAAAACCTTATATTCACTTTTATCTTGAGATACAAAGTTTATGAAGCTTAACAGAAAAAAAGTTTATCATTGAATTTTAATCTTAGGTACTCTGTCAATGTTTGGTGCATTTTGTGGTGTAGCATCAAGTATATTTGTTGCTTTAAATGCAATCTATACATCTCGATGTTTACCATGTGTTGACAATAATGTTTGGCGTTTATGTTTATATAATAATTTTAATGCATGTATTTTATTTCTTCCTCTTATGGTAATCTTTGGTGAATTTTCAATTGTTATTAATTATTCGAAAATATTTAATTTACCATTTTGGTTTGCAATGACAATGGCTGGTTTACTTGGTTTTTCAATGGGTTATGTTACTGGTTTTCAAATACAAATGACAAGTCCTTTAACACATAATGTATCAGGTACAGCTAAATCTTATGTACAAACATTACTTGCTGTTGTTATTTATACTGAAGTAAGAATTTAATTGTTAAAATAAAAATAAAACTAAATTAATTTATTCTTAAGACTAAAACAACACTTTGGTGGATATCAAATTTATTTGTACTTGGTGGTTCAGGTCTATTTGCACATGTTCGAGCAACAGAAATGAAACAGAATCATAATGCAAATAAAAATATTGATAATAATTCAACAACAACATCTTTACCAAAATGAGTAGAGAAACAAAAAGAAAAAAGACAATTTTAATAATTGTGAAAAATAATCTCTATAACACTTTTATTTAATTTGATTGAGAAAAAAAAAAGGGAGCAAAGAAATCGTTTTGATATCTTTATTCTTATTTAGTTTAATTATATAATTTTAGATGTCGATGGTAAAGAAAATTCTACTTGATATTTTACTTCCAAATGGTTGTATCATTGTTGTTGAATGCGAAGAGTATATTTTTCATTTTAGTTTTCATAAAATTATTTTTCTTTTTTCTTATCTAGGGATATGACATTAGATAAAATAAAACAAAATACATTATCATGTATTAAACGACAAACACCATTTAATGAATTAGTTCATGATCAAAAAAATTATTATTTAGAATCAGTAACATCAGGTGCACAAATTATTCCATTATATGATGAACAAATTAAACTTAATGAATTGAAGTAAGAATAGAACTTTTTTTTATTTCATAAATTAATCTCTTCAATTATTCATTTGAATGTGATATTTAATATTGTTGATTTTCGTCAGTCAAAGAAAAGATAAAAATTGTTATCTCATGAGAGAATCTATTCGACGGATAATTATCTATTTGAACTCATAGTGTAGATGAAAATCTTGAAAGAGTTCGTGTCTTTAGAACTTTTTTTTCTCGAGTGTTATGGTCATTTCACTGAACTGTCAACCTATTGCAGGAAATTCTTTTCAACAATAGCTCTCACCGGAACCGAACCGTCAGCCTCTAAGTCTAACATATGCAACTGATATATCGAATTTATGGTGAAATTATATGCATTATATAGATTCTAATGAACTATGCATACCCTGAAAACAGTTTGTACTCTTAGCATATTGTTGTGGAGAATTTTTTTAATGAATGCTATGGTCTTAGGAAAGCTGATTTTCGAATTGAAACTTTGCATAATGACAGGCCTAGACAAGAATAGTTTTTTTTTTTAGTGAATGTTTCGGTAATTATATCATTCGTCGACAAATTTTTGTCGACAGGCATTTTCGTCGACAAAATTTCGTCGACAAAACTTCGTCGACAACATTTTGTCGACAATTTTTTGTCGACGGATTCTTTTGTCGACAGACATTTCGTCGAAATTATTTTGTCGACCAATAATTTCGTCGACAAATATTTGTGATAAAATATTAATATTAAAAAGTACCAATCTATCTCTTTTTTTTATTTAATCAAAGAGATACAACAGAAAATAANTGAGGTATTTTATTGTTTTAGCCATGGACAATAATATACCGCATGAGATTTTTTATTGTCGTACTTTGGGGAAGACCTAGGCAGTTTTCGAAATTCGGCAATATTGTCGAAATTCCGTTGTCGAAATTCTTATTGGCGAATTTCCGTCTTACCGAATCAACATTTCGCCCCTTTTTGTTGAATCTCAGAAAAAGTACGGTTTTGTTTTAAGAGTGCTTGTCTTTCGTGTAATGTAATTTCGTTCATGAACAAGTGATCAAAATAAGTTATGTACGATTCGAAGGAGAAAAAAATTCTATGTTCTGATGAAAAGGTTTTCTTTCAGCATCCTTCTATTGAAGAGACATAGGAGTCGATATCTGTTCTATTACTTTTGCATCAAATATTATGTTGAAGTCTCATGAAGTCATGTGTAGTATAATACGCACAAAAATAACTGTCTTATGAAATTATTCTAAGATAATTTTCAATAAAGAACTTTCTTATTAATAATGACAATAAAGATATTGGAAAAAATATAAAGAATTGAAATGTGTCTAAAAAATTACAAAAAACAACGTATATATATAATCAAAAATTATAAATAATATCTAACTAATGCTGTTTCCTTCTTGCTTACCTCTACCGATATAAACAGAAAAACTAAAAAAGACAATTCTAAATGGCTTTAGACATCGAAAAGAAAGACGCAAAAGTGAGATTAGTAATGAAGATCGATCGCTTCAAGGATAACTAGGTTGCCTAATCAGAGTCAAGAATTTCAATGAAAATAGTGAAATGTAAAGGCTGACTTATATCCCGTCGCTAGCATGAGAGAACTGATCTATCAGTTATATCAGTTCTTAATAAACTATACGAAGAAAAACTACAAATAAGTTTAAAAAAAAATGGTTTGATCAAAAAATACTGAAATGTCTCGAACAAATGAATTTAATTAATATTTAATTCATGGATACATAGATTTGATTTTTAAAATAAATAAACTTCTTTTTATTCATGAATATTCAAACGAACTATATTTATAGTCTCATGAAGTCTGTTGTTTCCCTCTTGGTATGTAAGGTGCTTGGAACACTAAGAACTCCAAATATCAGTTTTCTGGGTTCTATCAAGAACGTTTCAAAAACAAGTTCATCTAATCAAAAAAGATATTTCCGAACCAAATAATATGTCTCCTGAGCACTCCATGATCTAGCTTCAGCGAACTGTGCACATTTTACGAACGGTTCAATTATTATTGTTCACTGAAGATTGGTGGCAGCGAGCTCGAGAACATCTTCTTCTTCTCAGAAATGTTTTCTCTATTAGATGAACTTGTTTACAAAACGCTTTTGATAGAGTCGAGAAAAGTAGGTTTTAGATTGTTAGTTTTCTAGAGACCTTTTACCCAAATCTGCTAATGGGAATTTGACAATTACATCTTCTAATAAGAAATTGCTTCAGTTACTCAAATGTTTTCTCTGATTGCTTTTAGCTATTACCATTAAAGGAAAAAATAAAAAGTGCTGCGTTTCTTAGCTTATTGCTTCGGAGATACTGTATTTCTACGATATTTTTTCAATGAAGTCTATGACCACGTTCAGGAATGCCAGGAAAACTGATTTTCGAATTTCAACTTGAGACTTTGCATGGAAACAGACTTTGACAAGAATAGCTTCTTTTGAAAGATTCAGATCTTTTCATTGTTCGTATTCTTGATACAGCTACGATATACGTGTGCTTTTTAAATTCGTTCTTATAAACTGGCAGATTCGATATTCATGTTTTAGGATAAAAGCATAGCAAAAGATTTGAAATGTTTACCATAAACTATTCTTGTTAAATTCTTCCTTTTTACAACTTTTCAAGTCGATATATTAAAAAATTAGTTTTTCTAGTATTATTCAGGAGACCAACGGCATTCACTTAAAATATATTGCAAAAGTGTAGTATCTTCGCAGCAATAATCTAAGGATACGAACTCTTACCAAGATATTCATAGCTCAATTGGAAGTCTTTCATCGTTAAGCATATCATTGTTCTAATATAGTGAAAGTCTTCATAAGAATATACAATCATTTATTGCGGTTATAAACTACAAAGTAAAGGTCGTCAACGTCAACATAATGTTTTGACTTTCATAAATCAAAAGTAGATGTTCTAAAAGTAAGAATAAAATAATATTTTCGCTTCATCATTGTGTGATTTTATATGAATAACATGTAAGTGTTCGATGTGTTTGCATGTACGTTTGAGTGCCTTCTTCAAAATCTCAAGTAACCTTTTCTTCGTTTATTATTGTATTTACCGATCGAGTGAATATGTTTTGTACAAAGTAATATACAATCAAGGATAAATAAGCGTCTTAACCATTTTTCACAGTCAACTGTTTAATTAAAGACTTGACATATGTATATAAAACTAAATAAATGTATTTTTTTTATGGGATATATATATATATAAATCCTTCGTTATTCTTGTAACTGAGGAGTACATATAGGCCTAGTATTTTTTGCAAGGTGTATCAGTAAAGCAAAATGTTTTTTATAATTTACCTTATTTTTATTGTGCTTTGTAAAACAATTCATAGTCAATCATGGAATACAACAGGTGAAATTTTTCCATGGGAATCTTATTTAGAATTGGGTGATATTCAACGACCTCTTGGTCTTACACTCGATCGATCTTCACTAGCTCATCGTCATTTTGCTATTGGATATCTTTGTCTTCATTCATTTATGTATGATGAAGCTAAAGAAGCATTCAATTTTGCTATTAATGTTAATTCTACATTTTTTGAAGCTTACATTGGTAAAATGCTTAGGTATGTTAATTAATTTCGTATTAGATCAATCGAATAAATTTTTCTTTTAATTAGTTGTAAACAAACATTATGGTCATATACTGATATTGCTTGTGGTCAAGCGGTATACAATGCAATTCGAAATTTAAGTAAGACAATTTTTCAAGGCGAACTTCTTTCGACAGTTTATCAATGGTATTCTGATAACTCAAATATAACAGTTGGTGAAAATGCATTTCTATCATCGATTCGTAATTTATCTCAAAAATATTCGAATGAAACTGATATTCGTGTTTTATTGGGTCTTTCACTTCTTAATGTTGCTAATCAAGTTCAATATCAGTCACAAATAGAACCACCGGAAATGATAGAAGCAAGAAGCGTATTAGAAGTTGCATTAAAAAATGAATCAAATCATCCAGGTATACTTAATTATCTTATACATGCTTATGATGTTGCTCTGGTGAATGTATCTGAACGAGCTAGAGAATATGCAGATCGATATGGAAAAATTATGACAACATCATCACATGCACAACATATGCCTTCTCATATTTGGGTTCGAACAGGTGAAAAATATTTCATTATATTGTTTTTTTTTGTGTCATAATATTTTCTTATTTGTTTTCGTTAGGTTCATGGAATCGTGCTTTATCAGCTAATGAACAAAGTATTCTTGTTAGTTTAAGATTGTGTGCAAAGAAATCATTAGCACTTAATTTATCGATTTCTTCAATTCAATTTGAACAGATTTGGAATTTATTTAATGCTACTCAACAAAAATTACTTGTTCAATGTGATGTAGAAAATCGAGCTCATTCTATGGAATGGCTTTCGTATTCTCGTTTACAAACAGGTAATTGGTTAGGTAGTCTTGATCTACTTCGAGATTTATATTTTGCTAATTATCAATCCAATCAAACACCAAATCCTTATTTACCATTTGCTTATCGAACACAAGCTCATATGATTATTGAACTATTCTATTGGTTTCCTTATAATTCTCAATTTCTGAATAAAACTCAACAATTATTAGCAATTAATGGAACACAAACAATGGTGTTAGTAGGTGAAAATGCTACACGATGGTATCCAATATGGGCTGAAGCAGGGTTTAGATTCAGTAAGAACTAACAGTTATATTTTTTATTGTCATTCTTACGATTATTTAGGTGAATGTCTTCGATTATTAATTACTTCTAATAACAGTAATAGCACATCCGTAGTAACTGAACATCTTAGTCGTTTAAATAATCTTTCTAGTAGAACAGCTTCATCAAATCCATATATATCAACTAGTATTTCAATAATGATATCTCAAATTTATGGAATTCGTTATTATATGAATCAATCATGGCAAGAATGTTTGAATGAACTAAATAATTCTGTTAACCGTGAATCAACTCTTATTCCTGGTACTAATAGTCCTACTTTAATATTTATACGTTCATCAGAATTACTTGCAGTACATCTGTTACTTATTCATAAACGTTTTCAACTAGGATTAATCAATGAGAATTATACATTAAAAAGTAAACGAACACCTATTGTCGACTTTCCATCACAAGCATTAAGTCTTTTGAAAAAAACTAATGAAACTGCACCTAATCGAGCTATTAATATGGTTGGTATGGCTCGAGCTTATGTTCAATCGGATAATATTAATGAAGCAGTAAAACTCTATCAATTATTACTTACTCAAATGAACTTTTCGAATAATTCTGATTTAACATTCTTTCAAGAAGCGCAACAGTTTATTGAACAGAGCCTAGTACAATATAATTCTTCATCTAATTATCCTTCTTCACTAGCACAATATAATTCTTCATCTAATTATCCTTCTTCACTAGCACAATATAATTCTGCATCTAATTATCTTTCTTCAATTTTTCTTTTGCTTTCTGTATTTTTTTTTAATTAATCAATAAATAAAACATGAAAATAATCATCGAATTTAATTCTTACACAATCATCTGCCATCCACACGAATTTCAGCAACTTTTATCTTGCTATTATAAGTACATAATATTCAATGAAACCGCTCAACTATTATTTTGTATGAATACACCATACAGAAATGTATGTGAACACTTATTGGCTATCCCAGATTCGCCCAGACCACAGTCCATTGGGTTCAAAATTTTCGGACTCACTCCCAGAACCAGCCCAATGGGCTCTTGCCCAAACTCCAGTAAAATTCTTTGTAATGTTATACAGTCATCACAACTAATTGAACTATTTTATCTTAGGNAAAGAAAACATTATGTGATAAAAAGAGAAAATAAGAAAAAGGAATTCTCATTCATGTAAAAAAAATTATTTTTTCACAAGGACGAAAATTGGTCGCACAGAGTTTTGCTTTTTTTTTGAAAACAAAAAGTATATTATTAAAATAAACTTTAATTTGTAGGTTGTAGAGCTTTTCACGGTGCATCTTGTGATATATTTTGTTTTTTTAATAAAAATTATTTCTAGACTAAAACATGAAATGCAAAGTGCGACCATTTATTATGGGACATCCGTTATTTACTTTTTAGAGCTGTGTGTATGTCTTTAGTTTTCGAGTTTTTTCAAATATATCTAAAACTGTTTTGGGATGTAGTCACATATGGCTTTGTAGAGAATTTCAAGTGCTATCTCTTGATAATAAAAAGAACTTCAATCACAGGGATTATAGAGGATAAATCTTAAAAATACTGAGAGGCCCATTATTCCTGGGACATCCGTTATATTTATGACACACAGAAAACATATATATAGTCAAACATAGTTCAATATAAAATGTATTAAATTGCTCAGTGAATTGATTTCAATCTTATCAGATCCAATTTTCTTATGGTCAAAATCTAGAAAGTAAACTGATTCTTACGTGTGCATAGAACAATAATAAGATGTCCATCGTTGGTGTATTCTACACGATAGACTTTTGTTTTCAACGTATGATTTGAACAAACAAGTACACGATCTTTTGTTATATCTGTTATTTGACCACGAACTGTATCAAATTCTGCTAAACGTGAATGACCAAAACGTGGATCAAATGAAAATCGTTGATCATAACCTAATTAAAAAAATTTAATAAAATTTAATCATCTTGTTGTTTTTTTCTTTTTAAACTTACGAGCTGGTGTTATCCGAAGTATAGCATATGTTTTTATATCAAATATAACTGTTACTTCATGTATTTGATGACTATATGAATGTTTATCTTCATAATCAGGTGTTATTAATAATTTTGTTCGATCAGGTGATATTAAACATGCATATGATCTTGCATTAAAACGATGTGCAACAGAATTAAGTTTTCGAACAATACGACTATTCCATGTTGATGATGATGATAAATAAAATGTTGGTGAAGATGGTGATGATGATATTAATACAGAATCATTATTATCCATACAATTACATGATAATGATGATAAATATGGTGTTGAACGATGTTTTGAATCGTGAATTAAGTTTTGAGAATTTTTACTATTTACAACTTCATTTGTATTTGAAATTGAATATGAACGTGTATTTGTTGATTTTGAACTAAAATCAAACATAATATGAAAATATCTATTGAATAAACAAATAATTAGAAAAAAAAAAATAAGATTAGCGAAAGCAAAATTTCTTAGCATATTAATCAAGAGATTAGTTTTAGTCTTTTTACTAGCGAAAGAATGTTTTCAATTGTTAAAAAGCTATTGGATTTTGGGTTATCAATCATTCTAATTCCGAATATGTTCATAAGAGATTCTCTTAGGTCTTTATACACTGGTTCTGCAGAGTATTAAACATGTCGGCAAAATCAATTTTGATATATAATGGGTACCAAAATTATTTGTCTATTACGTTGTTTTCCCATTTCCGATAGAAAAATCATTCACAAAACATCGCAGAGAACTTGACGATATCTTGTTTTGTAGAGGATGATTTTCTGAAGTTCCTATCCTTGTAAATCTGATAATAATAATTCTTATTTCCTTTATATTTTTCTCGAAACCATTTTCTCTATTCTACTAACTGTATAATTCGATATACTCTATAAGCTGAACAAATCAAATTTTCATAATGATAAACAAAATCAACACATAGTCGATATACGTTCGTTACAGCAGTAATGTTCTTATTAAATATTTTCGATTAAAAAGTGAGACAATCCTTTAAAATGTTAGCTAAGAATAATCGAACTGATTTTGTACGTCTGAAAATTAAGAAGTTTTGAAGATGTCAATATGAAAAGTGTCTTATTATTGATGAAAGCGCATCACAGAAAACGACAATTAAAAGATATTATCATTTATAAAATCGATTCGATTTCTAAAGTCGTTTAGTCAATTATTTTCTCTATAGAATTATTATCAATTTCAAATATATAAATAATTCATTTAGCAAAGCAATTTTAATTAACAAAAGCATTAATGTGTGAATTACGAAATGAAATTCTTCACTTTATCTTTTCATCGCTTATAGTATACAACCTTGAATTGTGTTCAATTATTAGTATTTTATTCAGTCATATTGTTTAGAGACAAAGAAGAAACTTGTCAGAGTATTTGACAATCGGTATTATATCGAGTTTATCTTTATTCTCATAAAATTGTAACTCATTCATCTGTGAGCGATTTCCTATAGTCAAAAATATGACTATTTTACATTAAGAGCACCTTCTCACTCTTTCCCGAGTTTCGAGACAATGATTCATCAGAAAATGTCGAAATTTTCAGAGCACAAATTGCCATAGACTCAAAGTTCTCGAATGCTGTTGTCTATGTTTTACAGGCACCAGATACAATTTGGAGTGGGTATCTTTCTATTTTTTGTCCTTCGAATAAAAAAGGCCAAAATATCGAAAGTACCCTAAAAGATGCATATGCTTTCTTTTAAATAGAGCTACCAAAAATCAGCAGAACAATATTTAAAATATATATGTAAAAAAAAAAAAAGTTTCAGCCTGATCGAACGTACTAGACTTGAAAAACGAAGGCAATCATGCGTTTTTTTTTTCATGGAAAAAGTTGCTTTTACAGTTTTTCGTTCTCAAAATGTAAAATTTTTGGTCACAGAAAATAGGGTGGGTTACTCTTAGGTCATATGACAAACAACATTTATAAATATCTCACCGACTGGTCAATTTTCCAAATCGAATCCTCGACATAGTCGAAGATATTGTATTGTTAGAAATATTAGTATTATTGTTAGTACTATAATTAGCAGCCATAGCAGCTGAAGCAGTTACCAATGTACATCGAGCTGAACCGGTTAAATAAGAAACTTTTTTTGTATTATCAACAAATTCATATGCATCATTTTGCATATCTAAACGATTTTCAGTATCATTTAATAATGAACATGATTTTATTGGTGATCGTTGTGGTTCACTTGTATGATAAGCACTTAATGTTGCTGTTTGCATTAATGAACTATGTCGATTTGGTGTATTTATACGTGTTGTTGAAGTAGTTTGATCAGATGATTGACTAGGTGATGATTGATGTTGTTGTGTTTGTCGATGAAAACATGTACATTTTTTTGATGAAATTTTTATATCTGATGGTTCGGTTAATATAGGTCGATCAAATACAAATATTTCCACCTAGATAAATTTTATAGAAAAAAAAAAAAAAACAACATGAGGAAATGAAAGGTTTTATGAATATATAAACTCACTTCATTATTTCCTTTCCATAATTGAAAGACAATAAATTCGTCACAGCATGCTATAACACGATTTAAACGATGTATACGTTCACGTACAGTATTATCATTTGTACGATAACGTTCAATATTTGATGGTACTGTTAATATAATATCATCTTCACCATGTTCACTTAATATAAATTGTGCATCACCAAGACGTGTTAAACTTTTAAAAAATCTTCCATTAACATAATAAACTGGTTTTGGATGTAAACGTCGTAAATCTGAATCATTTGATGGTATTGTTGACGAACATGTTACTGTTGATGATGAACTTGATAAAGTCATGGCGGAACCAACAAGAGCAGATGCTGACGGATTTTGATTATTATTATTATTACGAATATTAGATTTATTAGTTAAAAACGATATAGAAGAAGGGACAGAAGCGGATGTTAATTGTGTTTTTGTTTGTACAATAAAATCATTTGTTAATGATAATGATGTTGATACGAAGGATGTTGGAGTTGAAAATGAACTTGAAGAAAGTGAAGGGAGAACAGATAAGATTGTATTATTATTTGAATTATTATTATTTGATATTATTTCACAACCACTATCGGTACTAAATTGATTAAAATGACCAAAACGTCGTGCATCATGATAGATCCATTTTTGATATGGAATAACAACAATTTTACGTGCACCAGGTGGTTGTGGAACACCAGGAAGTTGTTTTTTATTTATTGTTATACCGTTACCCATCTAGAATTAAGAAAACAAAAAAAAATAAAAATACAAAAGTCAAGAGAATATAGCCTCCATAATCGAAAGTTTCAATTTGCTTTATATCGCAATTCAAAAAAGAAAAGAAATGTTCTCGTCAAATTTTTAATCAAAAGACAAAAAAAAATTTTTTTGCAAAAATGTGAAAAGTCCATTATTGTATTAAATTGAAATACACTCATACACACGCACACACGCACATTGAAATGAGTCAATATATATTTCGTCGTTGTCGTCGTTCTGTCTGTGTGATTGATAAACGAAAGCAGAGGCAAAAAGAAGAAAAAAACCGAAAGAAAAGATGAACGACACGGCACACAAACAAATAATAAATGAATATTGTACAAATTCGGTTATAAAGGAAACAAATTTTAAGGAACGCAAAATATCATTCTAGAGTGGAGACAAGGCACAAATAAATATTTTATATATATATATACGCGTATAATATTGCAAGAAGACAAAAAGAAAAATCGACACTGTACAAACAACAAAAAATATATAAATAAGAAGGCCGAGAGAGACTAGAGACAAAAAGGAGAAAAAGGTGGGATTGAAATGAGTACATAAGAATTGCACACTTGCACGCATATATAGAAAACAAAAAAACATTTTCCTTCAGATCAACAGAGAAAGAAAAAAAAACAGAAATAAACTACACAACTACATTTACATATTAAAGACCGAAAAAAAAACGCAGTAGCAGCAGCAGCAGCAGCCTGAGATGACCAATAAATATGAGTATCATCCATCTATATATGTATGCATGTATGTGTGTGTGTGCGCGTGCAATTTTTTTCTTTTTACAATGTAGACGAATATCACAATATGCGAGAAGAGAAAACATAGAGTCGCGAAAGAAGAAGAAAAAAAAAAAAGAACTGAGAAATTCTTTTTTCTCGTTTCAAGGTAAAAGATGATCAACACCTGGTAATGTGTCTGGTGGTAATGGTTTACCAAATAATGATGGCAATATTGTATCGGTTTGATTAGGATTATTATTACCATTCATATATGGTTCAAAATCTCCAAAACTAACATCATCAAATGAAGCAGCCGTATCGAAATCATCATTTAATAAAAGAGAATTTAAATTTGTATCACTACCCCATGCTGTTGAAAAATCAAAAGAATTAAAATCTGTTTGCCATTGTTGTTGATCAGCAACAATTGGTTGTATTGATGGTGGTGGTGGAAGTGATGATGGTGGAGGGGGAGGAGGTGGTGGTGGCATTGTTACTTGTACTTGTTGTTGTTCTTCTTGTTTAACTTTTTTGGGTGCTCGACGTCTTGATGGTGGTTTATCTGAATTTGTTTTCTTTGCTGGACTTGCTTTGGCAGTTGTTCGAGCAGGTTTAAGTAATAAATTATTATTTTGTTCTGTTGATGTTGTATGTTCAAAACGATGTATAGTATCAATAAGATTATCAACACCAGAAAATGACGATGGATTCAAACCTTTAAGTAATGTACTCAATGTTCGGGGTTCAACAACACCATTTACTACTAGACAATTGCCACCATCATCTAACGTTGATTGGCCACTTGGATTAGTACTATTATTTTGAGCAGGGGCAATATTTCGATTTGGATGAGGTGTATTATGAACGGTAAGTTCTGCAAAAAAAAACGAAATGAATGTTCTGTTAGACTTCTTTTTTACTAGATTAAGACATGGAAAAATATATAAACCTTGCCAGCACAACCACTTTGTGACAAAAATGTGGAATGCACCTGTGTTCTCTAACTTCATTAGACTAATATAAAATATGGTAAGTAAACAATCTATCTTATGTATTTCTCAATTTTAGATTTAACGGGCAAAAAAGAGCTGTTGTACATACCCATAATATCGATAGCAGATGTCAATACACTATTATATATACTTCGATCCTTTTTCCTTTGATAAGAAACTCAACAGCAGTCTAATGTCTGTTGCCTTCGATTGCTACGAAAATGTACCCAATGATCGTTGGTCTTTTTCTTCTTCCGTTGTTATGACTGGGGAGCCACAAAACCGTGACTTAAAATTTACATTTTCTATACTTTTCTTCGTAAAATATAATGTGAATTCTATATAAATTAAGTTCGACTATCGATACGAAAATTTTTTTCTTTGAATACATTAGAATAAGGACAAAAGAAAAAGAACTTTAAACAAACCATCTGATTGAGTAATCGATGGTGTTAGAATCAATCGTTGTTGTGATGATTGATCATGTGTAAGTTTTTGTTGAAGAACATATGGTTTATTATTAAAAAAAAATATTTGTTGTGGTTGTTTTCTTTCACCATTATTAATATTATTATTATTATTATTATTACTACTACTAAAAATAATTTGTTGTGATTGTTGATTATAATCATTTGTAATTGTTGTTGTTGGTACATGTAGTACAACAGGTTGACGTGTTGTGGAATTTGTAATTGGTAATAAATTTGTTGTTTCTGTACAATTTTTTGATCCCGATGAAATAATCGGAAGCTTTTTCTTAATTGTTGCTGTCGGTATTGGTGGTGGTGGCGGTGGTGATGATGATGTATTATTACTACGTTGTGTTTGTGCTTTTTGAAAAAGATGATTAACAATAGCATTTGAATCTGATGCAGCACCTGATGCAAGTGCTGATAAAAGAAAATTAGTTGTTGATGGATCATTAAAATCAATCATTAATGGTTGTGATGAATCATTTGTTTGTTCATTTGTAGATTTTATTAATGAATATTCATCTGAATTTGTTGTTGATGGTACTGGTGTTATAGGTTTCGGTGTTGTTTTTGCAACCATTAATTGTGTTTGACTATTTGTTGTACCCATTAAAGATATAACATCAATTTGATTTGATGTTGTTGAACATGGTTTTTGTGCTGCAGCTGGTGATCGAACAAAATCTGGTTTAAGTGCATTAACATTTAATGTAACAGGTTTACCAGTTGTCGATACAATTGATGACGATGACGATGATTCAACACGTACTCGTTTATTATTATTATTATTATTATTATTTGTGTCTCTATTCGGTGAAAGAAGAACATTTTGTACACCAGATAGAACAGCAAATGTTGATTCATTTGTTGTTGTTTTAACTTGTTCAAATAGAGATGGTACACGAGCAATAACATTGGTATCTGTTGTTGATGATGGTGTTAATACATTATCATTAATATAACGAAGATTCGTATTATTATTATTATTTTGATGATGAGTTGATGGTGATGTTGAATTTCGATGAACAAGATTTGTTTGTGATGTTGATGAAACGGATGCAGGTGGAGATAGAATTGATGATGGTACTGGTTGTATTTGTTGATGAGAATCATGTGATGGTTTAACAGCTAATTGAGCAATGACTGGTGGAGTAACAGCTGTTTTACGAGGACGACCACGTGGCCGTTTCGACGGTGGAGTAACACCAGTTTGTTGTAATGGAGTCCATGTCATCGATTGGCCACCTTCTATTTTTTGAAACGAAATTATAAAAAGAATGAAAACAAACAAATGTGTTGTACCTGGTGTTTGATTTGTACTATTAACAAAAACAGTTGATTCATTATTTGTTTGTAGAATATTCGATGAATTCGATGCACAAACAAATACATTTCCATTTGCAGTTTCAGCATGTGTTCGTTTTCGACGTTTAACTATTTAAGATTCAAAACTTAGTACAATCTCGATGGGGGATTAATACGTGAAACACGATATAACTGCTCATGTTAATCATAGACAGATCGTTTTATTTAATCCTTAAGTAATGCAATAAGGAAGTAGTTCATATGTATTATATATCAGACTTCTTTTTTTTAGATCGTGTTTCACAAAAAAAAGAAAACTTCAAATAAAAATATTTACCAGGTTTTTGTTCGGTTTCACAAAATGAATCAATACAATTTGTTAATGTTGCCATTTCTAAGATATTCGATTTTTGTCGACAATGAGTACCTTCAAGTACTTGTGTTACTTCCCAAGATTTTGATTTGATTGTTGAATCAAAATTGAAAACCTATTATGTAAATCAATGATGTTCATATTCAGTCAAACATGGATATAACTTATACAGGTGTTTATTAGCTATGTACTTATCATGAAGGATTTTTTGAAAAATCCGTCATTTTCAGAATCACTCGGTTTGATGCTATTGTAGAATTTACAGGCTTCTAACTTTTATCGATGAAAAATTATTTTAAAATCTCTATGACACATCTGAGGGATTCGTTTGTGTAACTGACGAGAGAACTTCCGCAATGGCACAATGTCCATTTGATGAATAATAGAAAAGTCTAGAATGATTCGTCGGTTTTTCAATAAAAAACTACGACTAACTTTTCTAATATCAACAATCGGTTTTCTAGGTAACCACAGCTTTTTATTGAAAAAATCATCTTTAGAACGAAGATGTGAAAAACTAAACCATTCATGATTTCTCTAGTACTCATCAAATAAACATTCTCTCAGATGAAAAGAAGTTTACACTTATACAAATTAGCAATTTCATTAATCAGATAAAACAAACGAACCTTATCAACAATAAGTGGACATTGAAGACCACATTTGCATGATGAGGGTGTTTCAAGATATTGACGTATAGCATCTAATGAATCGAGTATTGTATTAGTTGGACTAGAAACCATAGGAAACATATTAAACTTGAACGGAAAAGAAATTATTAAATTTAAAATATTCTACCTAAGATAAACGACAAGATCTGGTGCTAATATTCTTCTTTGCCATCCATAAGGTACAGGTATAAACTCCATTGGTTGTGAATTATTTGTTGTTGTTAATTGTGTTGTTGTTAAATTTTTTGTTCCTTTTTTATTACGTGAAAAATTAGGTGAAATCGTTTCATCTTTAACAATAATTCTTGTTAATGCTTTAGCTTCTTTTTTTACACGTGATTTTTTAATTATTGTTGAATGTTGTTGATCATTTGTTGATGAAAAATTAAATGAATCAATATGTATATTATAATTTGTTGTTGTTGTTGATGTTGTATTTGTTTGATGTTCATCAACTTCTTTGATATTTTTTAATATTTGTGAAACAATTTCAGTTGTTTGTTTTTCATCAAATTGACATTTTTTTGTAACATGTTCATTATTTAATATATTTGTTTGTTGTTGTTGAACATTTGTTGTATGAATATTAACGTTATAATTATTCACACTAATATTATTTGCTGTTATATTACTTAAATTAGTTGTATTTTGCATTGAATTTGTTGATTCAATGATTGTTTTAGGTTTAAATGGTGATGGTAAACGTGTTACATTAATTAATGGTGTTTGTTGTTTAACAGGTGTATCATGACTAGACGAAGAAGAATTAATAGTACCCTGTTCAGATGGACGTTGTTGTTCATCTATCTGACTAACAAGTGACGATTGTGAATGAACAAATCGTACGAGATGTGTTGGTGAAGCACTACTACTACTATTCAATTGACTAGATGATGGTAATACTTCACTACAACATGATTGAACAAGTTCATCAATTGTCACATTAGCAGCAATTGTTGATGATTGATCTTCATTATTCCTAGTAGTAGTTGTAGTATTTGTTTCATTTGTAAATGATGCTTGTGTTGAAAGATATGTTTCTGTTGTTGTCGTCATAATACGAGTTCGAAAAACGAACTTAGATTATTTCTAATGTTCATATGGTGAATATGAATAAATTGAAAAAAAGAAAAATCTGAAAAAAGAAATGAATTGAGCTTATTTACTATTAGATTTTGTTTTCTTTCTGTTCTCTCTATGAGTATTCTTCTTCTTATTATTATTGTTGTTGTTGTTGTTGTTGATTTAACAGCCATAATCAAATGGCAAAGAACGCTTTATTGAATTTGATTAAAGAAATTTTTTTTAATGATTTTTTTATTTTTTGTAAATTAATTTATTTGAAAATAAGAATAAGAAAATATTTTTTCTTTTGTTATATGATTAAAGATATTAGCGACATCTAGGTGAAATAGATGTTGTTACTAGAGAAACAAACAGGCGTACAGAATTTACCTTTTGTGTTAACTATACAATTCATTACTTTTTTTGAATCAATACTGCTTCTATTAATTGATGACTACGATGTCTTGGAATGTTCCAGTAAAAAAGCTTGATGCTGAATCGATTAACGTGATTAATTGAAAACGTCAATAATTTTGCTCTGATAAAGTCATTTTTGTAATAAAAATGCATAGAGACATATATTTTAAGTAATACAGGAAGAATTACATCGAAAATGAAAGATTTCTTCGTAACAACGGACTTTATTGAAATTTGCAAATATCTGAAAGCACGTAATCATGTATATGATTTTTCTGAAATTTTCATATGCTGAAAGTTCACACATTGATTATAATACTTGAGAAATATTCTATAGTACTCATTGACATTAGAGTTCTTAGAATGTTCTAAAATTCTTCATATTCTTATGTATTAGAAGGTCATACAACTTGTCTTTATAAAAGATCGAATATGGTATGGTTTCATCCATTTGGTAACATAGAACTACTGAATCATTTCATGAGTAAGTCGAGAATGCAATCATTTAGATAGTTTGAAATTTCACAGTCCAAATAGATCCTAATAAGTCGATGATTCGTGTTATCTTTTATAGATGATTGAGTTAGTCACGATTGAGTACTTCTCGTTTAACAACTGAAGATATTGTAGAACTAAGTTTTGTACCTCATTAGTTGACGCCGTTATAGGTATGATTACATTTTTATACATCAAATATCAAATTTTAAAACGAAATTCAAATAAACAATAGATGTTGAACTTTGATAAAGTAACCTGAGACTTGATTTTAAAAACACTTAAGACTTTATCCAGTCGCTTAATGTTCCTAGAGCTTTCTATTAATAGGTAAGAATAACAATAGATGAGTCTTGGAAAAAAATGATCTAGCTCAGATTTAACTTTTTTTCATTTCTATTGAAATGATTTTTATTCTTAAGATAAATATACAAAATTTTCTCAGATAAAAAATGTCACTTTATTTAATTAGTGGATTGTTGTTAAATTTAGATATTAGTGTGTAAAATAAATTCAATTTATGTTTACCACATATAAATTCATTTGATTTAATTTGTTCAGTAAAATTTGATGTTCTATTCTCATTTTTAATTCTTAGTAATGGCCGATCCAAATATGAATTATGACAGTTCATTGTTGTTTCGATAATAACTGAAAGAATATTTGACTAAATATGAAAATCCATGAATGAATTGTAATTAAAGGATGAAGCAGAGGTTCTGCATTAATTTTGTTTTGAGTATGAGTGTGTGAGTATGAATGTGGCTGAATGAAGTGAAGGTCCATACCTTACACTCATGTCACATTTCTCACATTAAATGCTTTACTCTTGATAAATGCAGGCGTTCTACACAACATTTGTAGTTTAACGATATTCAAATAAAACAGAAAAAGATAACATATTGCAATCTTTCAAAAGTGAAAAACGGCCTACTGAAGAACAAAAAAGCAAACGGTATCGCACACACAATATAACCTAAAATCGACACTAACAGACCACTAAAGTTTGCACAATTTTTTTTCACTTGCAATTATTTGATTGCGGTGAGTAGCTTCTTAGAGTGATTTAATTACTTAGTTAATTGAAGTCATTCAAAAGTCATATATATCTAGCCTAAATATGATCGCATTATTAGAAGAAGCTAAGACTGAAACGGAATCGAAAGCAATGGTCGGTTCTTTAATACTTTTATGTCTCAATTTTATGACGTCATCTATATTTTAAGTCATTACTTTGCTTCCGTTCTATTTCATTCTATTCATCAATTTAACTTATTCAAAAGACTGCGATCAGACTATCACTATAACATAATGAGAAATTTCATGAAAGAAAGTTTAAAATTGTTTATCTTAAACTATTGACATATAGCAGTGAATGATAAGCTTCGGATAATCCAGCAAGATGTTAGGACGACGGTGAATACCTTTTCGTAGATATTAGTGCTTCAGAGTAAGAGCAAAAACCTGTGAGTTACAGTAAGTATCGCGAGATGTGAAAACAAGACATCGAAACTCACAACAATGGATGAGACTAAGGGTTAAAATCTTCGAACCAGACAAAGAATACGTCATGTAGTGAGCAAGAAGTATTGGATCAATCAATGCTGTTAGAGTGAAGACGAAAAGGTTTGAGTTTCATGATAAGGTGTCTGAATGAGAGTAGAAAATTTCGACCAACTGAGTAAGTAGGTGGGATGGTGGAAAACAACTTCCACTGACACAGCCATGTGCCATTATCGAAACGAATACTTTTCTTGCCAGACTTCATTAAGTCAGACGAGAGGGGAAAACTTGCGTACATCAGAATAATGTTACAAAGATAGAAGAACACAAAAGTTGTGGTCCTCGCATGAATACCTAAGCGCCTCGAGAAAAAGATTGAAGACATACACCAATGTGCACAATTGACAGAAAATTTCTACACCGTCATATATTTTTGCACCCGAGTGAGGAACAACCTTCGAACTTCAAAACACTGTGAATATCAAGTGAAAAATTTTTCGGTCGCACAACTGCCCTTAAGAATGAAGAAAGAAAGTTTCGTATTATCCAATGATAAAGTTGCAGGGAGAACAGAATGCTTTGTACTCTATAAAATTGTGCTATAGACAGTGAAACTTTTCGTGTACAACAGAAATGTGTGAAAGGAAAGACGAAAATCTTCGAACTACGCAATGATAATACAGATAAGGCTAAAACTTTTTATCAAACATATCATTACCTCACTGTGAGTTTCTAAGTCTGTTACAGACAAAGCAAATGTCCGCCTCTATAGCACTACATGGAAAAACGAACCAAAAGGTGTGCGCTAAAATTTGATGCAGAACAGTGTGGATGTTGCTGTACAGTGTCGTTATGGATATGGGCAACTGCGTACGAGACTTTTCTTTGCATTCACAGCGATATCCAGACTTACACCTACCCACATCCACAACACACAGCCACACCTACATCTGCATCTACATCCATAACTACACTTGGTAGAGATAGCAAATACATTCTTTTCAGATTGAACTTGCTCTTTATTAATGGCGACTAAAAAGGAACCACGACGTAAGTTGGCGATTGTAATTGGCATTGGTAAATATGATCATTTTGAAGAATTACAAAAGCCAGAAAATGACGCGAATGATATGTCATCTGCTCTTGAGAGTATTAGTTTCATTGTTACAAGGAAACTATATTGAAAACGTGCTGAGATGAAACATGTTGTTATTGATTTCGAAGAATCAATAGAGTCCGAGAATATGGTCCTATTTTATTTTGCTGGACATGGAATACAATGGGAAGTATGTATCAAGATTTTATCATAAAAATTGAAAGTTATTCCAAATTTATATGAGCATTTTATTTATGATACTTTTAGGATCAAAATTATTTGATACCAAAAGACACTCCAACATTGAATGGTGCCGATTTGAACAAGAATGCGATTAATGCACAAGATATTCTTAACACTTTAAGTGATCATAAATCATATGTAACAATATTCCTATTGGATAGTTGTAGAAAATATCATCTACATAATCCTGAGATAGACGCACGTAAGTCGAATGAAAGTGGTGCAAAATCAGTAGGTCTCAAAGCCATGCACAAGGCTGGTTCGTTATCTGCATGTGCTTGTGAACCTGGAACTATAGCCATTGAAGAAAAAGGACAGAGAAATGGATTATTCACAAAGCATCTTTTAAAACACATTACAATTGTCAATGAAGACATCCAGCTGATATTACGTGATGTTACAAAAGGAGTAATAGATGAATCAAAATCAAAACAAATTCCATATGTGAGTGCTTCATAACCAGAAAGAGATATATATTTATGCAGCCAACAAACAAATCGATCAAGTAAACCAGGTAAAAATGCTAGTAAATTCTACTTCTCTTGTTTAAGTGAATCAAAAGAATGTCATAAGAATTTTGCGATTGAAATATCTTTTTGAATTGTTTCTGTACGTAACCTGAGCAAAATGTTATAAATAACATCACCGAAATAAACAGAGAGCTTGAGTTCTTCTTTAGTCTCAATCTTTATAATGCTCACAACTTTCTTAGCTTGGCGTGACTATTTCTTATTTGCGAGGGAAACTCTTCAGGTGTTTGATCACTTTGGAGTTCATATGTTGGACATATATAAAGGTACACTGGTATAGTCCAACTCTGAAAGGATATGTGCGAATAGTCCTCTCAACGAATCACATCGCATTTTTAAATTACATCTCAAAACATAATTATTGATATTAGATGTTTTTTTTGTATCTCAACTGTATAGTATTTGTTCGAAGTGAAATTTTTATCAGATGGAGCAGATAGTAGAATCCAACTGCGGGATCATACTTTCAACCAGACCAGCCAGTTACGGGTCTGGTCTAGTTGGATTTTGAAAGCCGATCGGTTGTCACCAATTTTTTATTGATATATTTTTGGGTACTAAGGCTGGCCAATTTCGCTCGTTTTTAACGATTCCCATAGTTTTAGTGATCAAACGATAAGAGCCTGGCGATCTCTAACTGACAAATTTTTAGTCGTTGTTAAAATCTTAACTCTGAATATTGAGTTAACACTTTCTCATCGTAGGATGAGAGCCTCAGATCATGCTGAATAAAACTAGGCTCACAAAAATTTACCCAGATATTACAAGTCAATGTCGACCTAAACCAACGATTTTTCACCTCGAAATGTTGAACTTATTGTTTTGAATTCTTTCTAGCTGACTCTCATAAAAGCCCAGTAGCTAGTAGTTTTCAGTTCATGATGTCATTACAAAATATTAGAAAAGAATTTGCTCTGTTAGCAGGATTTTGCCAACTACTACCATCATATAACTATGAGAATATTGAAATATTAATAAACCTCAAAATAGGAAGTCTAATAAAAAAAACTTACGTTTCAACTCACATTATCTTTCTATCAGCAACAGCATGCTTCTAAAATTTGAGATTCTTTTTAGCTTTGTCAAATAAGTAGACTTAGACTGAAATAGAAATTGTTACTATGAAAAGTTCATTATTATATGAGTTTTACATTGTATGTCTTTGTAGTACTGAAGTAATAAACTTTTTCGAAAGAACTGCTTGGTTTATTGACATATTAAATACATCAATTTTTTGCCGGTTAAATCAAGAACTCTAACCCACAAGTCCGATCTGGGCGAAAAAAAACTTCACCTATTTCAAGTATGACCCGGATTTTAATTAATTCCCGGCATATCACTATCGCTTTAAATAGACTTTGGAATTTATTAAACGAGTAGCCGTGAATTCTTTCCCATTAGGCATTTAGCAGAGATCACTTCACGAATGCATGAACGATGGAAGATCTAAAGTTATAAAAGTTGAAGTTTTAGGTACACAGAAAATGAGATTGTCTCTGCAGTCATTTCTTCTTCTTAGAAGCGTTCAGATTAATCAACTGTGTGGAGATTAATGGACTTCCTCACTAGTATCCAATAAACGTGAATTTATGTGAAAACTCTGACTGTATATCAAGTATGCTACGGTGTTAGAGTAAATTTGTCGATTCTCTCAGAGCTGCACACACTGTTCTTCTAATGACTCATTGTCACAAAAGCTTTTTTTTCGAGAGTTCAAGATATAATTAGAGAGAAGAGCTTAAAATTTTCTACCATTTCTTAACAATACTATTCAAATTGTGAATCATGTCGAAACTACCGCATTGTCAAATAAAGGTCTCGAATAAAGACAACATTCTTATTTAAGATCAGCTCACCTATTGATATTAACAGATCCTAGTATATATTTTTCAGCTTTAGAACAGTCACAAGATTTGTCACAAATATCGGACCAGGATCTGAAATTGGATGAGGAAATTGGTCGTGGAGCGTTTGGAACAGTTTATCGAGCTCGATGGTTAAGCCGACATGATACTGTTGCTGTCAAAAGGTTACATCTTACTCAGTTGGACGAGCAGGCGAAAAAAGAATTTTTGAAAGAACTATTGGTGATGCACAGTGTTCGCTATCATCATATTGTCACTTTCTTTGGCGCATGTATGGAAACTGGAAAGTATGCACTGGTCATGGAATACATGTCACTGGGATCATTGTACAAAACGCTTCACAAAGATCAAATTCAATTAAATTGGCCTCATCGATTATCCATTGCTTTACAAGCAGCCAAAAGCATAAATTATCTGCATAGACTGCAACAGCCCATCTTACATCGTGATATCAAATCATTGAACTTCCTATTAGAGAAATTTCATGAAGGTTATATTGTAAAAGTGTGCGATTTTGGTTTAGCTCAAGTACGCAGTGAAACAATACGGCAAAGTGTATTGGTTCATGCTTTGCCTTGTACATTACAATGGACTGCTCCTGAGATACTGCGTTTAAAAAAGCACACTGACAAGAGTGATGTTTACAGCTTAGGTATTGTTTATTGGGAATTAGCTTCAAATGAAATACCTTACAATGGTCACCAAAGTGGCGTCATTACTGAGTTTGTACTTCGTGGTGATCGTTTGGAGATACCCGAAAACACTCCATCGAAATTCGCTGAGCTAATCAAGAAATGTTGGACCGAAAATCCTGATGATCGACCAAATTGTTCTCAGTTGATCGAAGTGATTGAACAATGCATTGAAAATCAAAGTAATTTTGTTTATATTACTCTATTTTGAAGAGTTGAGATGAATATGTACTACAGTAATTATTTTAAAAATCGGAGAACTAAAGTGAATTGTGACATATTATTTGAATACATTGGATATATCGAAATCACTTGGATGAGAACCATAAACAAGATACAACGTTAGACTATGTACTTTTTACAAGAAGGAAAACAATAATGAATAGGTCAGTTCCATCGTTTATTTAGCTTGATTCTCTAAACTCTTTTATACTCACATAGTCTACTCAATAAATATGTATATTTACCAATCTAATTATTCGGCGAACCTATAGAATAAAGAAACGAGAATTTTTGAAGTACCAGTAGTGTCTAACTTGTTTTTATTTCTATGATATCCTCTTATTGTGAAAGATGTTTATGTTAGAAGAAGGTTCATGTTCTGTTATGTCATTGATAGAAGATCTGAATGATGATTGCTTTTGCCATTTAAGAATCTTCGCTTCAATGTTTTTTCGATTCACGAGAAAGTAAGATCAAGTAACATATCTGTTTTTTTGCATGTACAATAACACGATAAAGCTTTAGAGGACGAAAGCAAAATAATCAAGGCAACCGACTTTTCAACATGTATTAATACTATGACTAGGATGGCGTATTTTATTTGTACTAGTTACTTCTTGTGTAGAGAAATTTTTCTGAGCTCTTTTATTTTGCATTTTCTAACACATCTAGAAATAATCGAATCTTATTAAGTATCAAATAATAAATTAAAATATTTGATTTAAGCAAGTCAAAAACCAATAGCAATTAAAAAAATATATTCAATGCCAATAGCTTCGGCAAATATCTCCTAAATGCAATCATTATAACATGTCTTTCCAATGGACGTTACATCCACATAGCTTCAACTACTTGTTACTCACAATGACGAATTCAGTATTTCATTT